AATTGAAATTTAAAAGTGTTTATTTGTAAGGAAAGTCGACATTTTGATTCAACTTTGTAGCCGTAGAATATTATAGAGAAACACTTTATAATTGTATTAAAAATCGTTCGAAAGGACGATGGCTGTAAAGGTGATTTTCTCCCGGCGAGGTGAGACGAGAATTGAAATTCATTTATAGCCATCGCGAGCTCGCGTTGAGGTAATAATAAAATAAAAATATAAAAATACCAAAAGTTTTTGGTCAATTTTAAAATCTAACTTCAGGGCGCTCTGGAATTATTTGCAAAAAGACATCGTTTATTAAACCTTAAATCATACGTACCCTTCAATCTCGCGGTTGGTAGTAAAAACCATTGCAGGCTCGCGCGAGTCATCGCGTGAAACGTGTTTCTGTTGCAGAGTTAATAAAAATAGGTAGTAATACGGTTTTATATCATATCAACAAATATTTCAATTCTCGTTTCACACATCCTCGTCAATCGTATAACGTATATAGTACATATTAAATACAAATTTCAATACTCGTCTCGCGTCTCTAGTGATAAAGCACCTTAAGAGGTTTCGAACCTCTCTCATGCATGTAGAAGAATAACAAATTTGCTATAAGTATTAGGAAAAAACATTACTCTTATTATAGAAAATTTATAAGGCAAATATAATCTATATTACCGTTTTTCGTAATTCGATTGATATGAGGTTATTTTTGAAGGTTTTACTAGTGAAAGATCATTGCAGCATTTATTCTAAAATGATGGCGCTGTAGTCGGATTTTTACTTTTAAAAATAAAGTTGCCATTTTTTAAGTTATTATATGTAGGTATAGTGATGTGATAGTGATTTTGATTCATTTATTTCACTTCAATGAACTCACTGAAACAGAATGAGTCAAGTATCTGTTAAATAATAATTTCGTCTCTGTGTACCTCTATAATTTTTTATTATCAATTTCTTGATTTAAAAAAATCAATACCTACGATATATTTGTGAGAATTATAATTGAGGGGAAGACAGAAAAAAAAAGCAAAAGGGAGGAAGACCAAGAAAGGCGTACAGTGAACAAGTAAAGAAGAACATCAAAGTGAGCAGCTATAAAGAGGTCAAGGAGATGGCTATGAGCCGCGTGGAACGTAGGAAGTTACGCCGACAAGAGCTTGGCTCTTAAATAGGATAAAAGAATGAATGACCTAAGATATAATTTAAAAGAATGATCTGTTGAGTGAGTCAGTGAAGTCCATTAAGATAACACTATTTTTTTAATAGTAGTATTTACACTACACTAAACTTTTCGCCCTTCGGAACAGGCTACGGCGTTTAATTGGTGAGGCCATACTGCCTGATCCTACATGTCATTTTTCTTCAATAGTTTAATTTTCTTTTTTTTTTAATTTTTTTGTATTTATATCATGTTTTGGTTGAACGAAGAATGGAAAGGTCCCGGTTTTCAAAAGGGTCACCTCAAACATAGAAATGATTTCCCGTGACAATTACATCTAAGTCCTGGCAGTACGGTATTAAACATTTTAATATTACTATTAAAAAATAGTGTTGTCTTAATCACCTTCATTGACTCATTCAATAGATTATTAATTTAAATTATACCGTAGGTCATTTATCCATTCGTCCTATTCTTTATTAATAGATCTGGCTGTATGGCCGAAGTGCGAAAAATTTTACTACTTTAATTAAAAATCCGACTATAGTGTTTCTTTTGGCATCAATGTTTGTGCTGTGGTTAGGAGAAATTTAATTATTGAAAATTATTATTATTATAAATTATTCGCCATAACATGGCGATGGTCAAACAGCATCTTGTCATCTTTTAAATTTCGAATGTAACAGCGATTATATTTACACTGGTACTTGGTATCTACTACGTGGAGCGAGGCCTAATTTGAACTGGTAATTGCCTTGATTTAACAATCAGGCTACCGCGGAACATTCCACGCGAGAGTTGTACATTTATGAAGTACAGTCGTAAATTAATTAGTGTTGCAATCTTTTAATAGTCTTCTATCCCGCGAATTCTAAATATTTCGAAAAATAATACAGAGCACATTTATATCTGTAATAGAACGAAATGATCAGAACGGATTTAGACAAGAAAAGGCACAAAAGGAGGTTAGACCCCTGAACCTAGATTCTTACACGTAAATTTTTTGTCGTTCTTGAAAGTGCTGTCGTCAGAGAGAATTTAATGATAATGTTCAAGATTGAAGTTATGAGGTAGGAGATAGGAGAACTATTTATAAATTGTAAAAAAAAAACGAAATAATTCTGTAGGTGAGAGGTAAAGAACTAATAATTTTTACTACAGAGCGTTTTAAAGAGAATGAGGTTCTTAATTAGGCATTTAAAATCAATGTTAAGGCAAATGAAAAACAAACGACGATAGGACTTAATGTCTTTTACCATTGCGTGATTTTTTGCATCCTAACGGAATGTTTGAAAAGACATCTAAATAGGATGAATGAAACTATTTTTCCGGATTTAAATCGCGTATATTTGTATTTTCAAACAATCCGATGTTTTGTAACCTACCTACAAGTGTTTCATGTCCTGTGTTTAACAACCGCGAAAACCTAAGAACTCGAAAAACATCTAAATTCCAAAATATGGACTTATTATCATTTACCTCTCACATACAGAATAATGTAAATAGAAAATGCAAAAGACAGTGTTAAAATCTAACACAATCCTGGCGGACTCAATAGTCGGATAGTTAAAAAAGGAAAATGCAAATCTCAACTCTATATACAACATAGAATGTCAAGCCAAGATGAGGTTGACTATGAGTCAGGCTTACCCGGAAGAGATTGTTTGTCAGTGTTATAAGCACTCAGAAACACAACTCTGTGTTTCATTTACTTGTATGTGTGCATAAAGGATATACAGGTTCCAAGATTTTCGATTTTTAGACAAGCTTTATTAGAAATAACATTTTTTATCCGGATCTAAAAACCGCGTATATTTGGTTTTTTTCAAATTACCCAATGTTTCGGGCTTTTAAGGCCAATTTCAGATGACAAAATTTTTAACGCGCGTTTTCATATCCCGCGTCTAGATATTATTAGATTTTACATACATTCGGTCGTAGGTACGCGCGGTACCGCGCGTGAATATGCGGTACCGCCTTGTTCAGAAACGCACGACACCGCATGTCACGTCAAACACACACCGCACTCACTGCCTCCGTCACCAGAAAATTCCGAACGCGCGTCAACACGCGTCGACGAATGGCATATGTACTGTCCATTTGAACCTATACTTACAGATCCCATAGTCTCTGACTGAGATGGTATTAGTCATCAACTAGTTATGCCTAATAGGTATTAGTGCAAAGCACTTTTGTCCGAATTATAGTTACAAGAAATATTAATTTTGAAAACTTTATTAAAAAGATTCAGAGCCGGAAAAAAATATAGTTTTATTTCCTGTGAGTAAAAACCTAAAAACTCGACAAGTAGGTACTTATTATTTGTGTGATCAATTCAACAATTTGCAATGTTGGCAATTATATGAGGTAATGGGTTAGATGAATAGATATGTAGGAATCATCTAAGATTGATATAAAGAGCTAAACTATGCTTCTACGAGGTTAAGAAAATATAGCAGAACACAATCTTGGGAAGGTATAGGTCACTAATTGGCAGATATTACTTATTTGCGAAAACAATTAACTTTTGTTAAAAACTTTGTTATCCAGTCCAAACTACGCAAACTACAACTTACTGTAAAAATATTTATATTTCGAATTTGTGTAAACGTTTTTCTTTAAGAACTTTAAATTACTCAGGACGAAAATTACTGCATAATACATATAGACAAGACTTTACATTGAGGTTGATCGTTGTTGTATTGTAACTGGTTCTGTTTTCAAACCTCAGGCACCTATTACGAGTCGGGACGTCGCGGCGGGGGGGCCCCTGTTTTTTGTTGTTCCCACATTGGTTGATACACGCAAAATGTTTAGGTTATGGTTTACTTTAAAGAATGCTTTACATCCAATAGTGGTACATGTTAAAGTATCATAGTCGGCTATGGGATAAACCACCTACCCAAGATTGGTACCACTAAGCTACATTTCATTATATAAATATTTTGGCATTTGATTTGGCTTAGAGAAAAATTTGAGACTACATCACATATAGAAGTTTTAGACTAACAGATCTACAGAGATATAAAGTTTTAAATTTAATGTTAGATAACGAAAGTACAAACATAAGTATAATTTAACACATATATATAACATTTGACATTTGACAAAAGTGAATATTTTCCTTTTTGTCCTTAGTGGCGAAATAAATTTCATGTTTGGTACGTTTATTTTATTTTTTCTACAGTGGACTACGTGACGTAATGTATAACACCCTATATAGGGTACCTGGTAAATTTCTTTGGCGTTCAAAGATTTGGAACGGGTCCCCTTACGGCTGGGGGCCCTTGGCATTTTGCCGTCCTATTATTACGTCACTGACAACTACACCGGTTAATATTTCTAAACTAAGGCCGTAATTACATAAAAGTTAAACAGACATCGAAAGCAGTTAAAAATTGTGGTCACCACATTTATTAGAATAATGGACATTCAAAACAAGGCCTACCTAAATGATACAAAGAATTGTTTTACTAACATTTTAATATACTGAGAGGGAAACTGAGATTTTCGAGTTCTATACTATATTAAGGTCCAACACAGATGACAAATTATGAAAAAGAAAGATGGCAGTTAATCTGTGAAATAGATACAGTAATAAGGAAATATAAACTGTCGATATGTTTTTGGTAAAAGCCGGATGCTTTTCCAATTGTCAAGCTATCAACACGAAACAAAGTTTTAACTTTAGCAGTCACAACAATGAGTTCTTATAACTGTGTACCTTTTTTGTTAGACTACGTAATAAAAAAGGTACTTGGTAAAATATCAGTTCAATTATGTTAAAAATTATAAACACGTTTAGTATAATTTTGTTTGTGCTGTATTGAATGTTATTTTTAACAAGGTATTTGCAACAAAATGGAATGTTCTTTTCATATCGCTGCTTTAACAAAAATAGTCCAATACAAAACTGTTATTTTTTTATTTATTACGCAGCTATATTCAAAATGAGATAAATTTTATTGTTAGCTTTCCATTGGTTAAAATAATCACGTTTGACCGATATACGATTCAGATTTCCGCGTCAGGTAGGCCGCTATTTTAAAAAATCAATGACATATTATATGATTTTTGACATCTGTTTTGGACCTTTGATGGGATCAAAATGAATGATGGTGATGAAATTCATTAATAAAATCGGGACGGATAGTGCAGCAAGTCTAGTGCACTAAGGAGTCGACGGTTCCTCCTCTTGGTGATGCTTGGCTAAAGCCAGTAGGATCATGGTAAGTTGTTTACGGCTAATTTTGCCGTCACTGCTGTACTCTACGCCTTGGAGAATCGTCTCTTCGAATTCTAGAAGGTCTTGGGCATCGTAGTCCTGGAAATAATAATAAAAAAAATATTTTTTCATAAAGCTGCATTTGGTACCGTAAAATGGTGCCTATGTTTTTAAGTTTTTTGTTCATATTTTTTGTACTTACTTAAGAAGAGCGTATGTAATTCCACGCTAAAGTACAAACTTGTGCTATATGTCTATATTAGTCTAAACCTAACAACTTGCGGATCAATTTTGCCTAAGTTGTAATAACTCAGGCAAAATTGATGACTCGAACTACAACTTCGCCTAGCCAAAAATCTTGCAATATATATTAATTGAAATGATTATTTTATTTGTACTACGATAAAGCCACATGTGATCATTCGTCAAAAGTGCTTTTAGTTGGCATCGTATATAATACCAACACAGCAAAAACAACAAAAATTTTCGCGTGCGCGCCATTAATTGCATGATGGCATAATAAATATGTCAAAATTTTACTTGGGTGTCATTTTATTGTTGAATCTACTCAATTCCAACCACAAATCAAGCCTCCACATAAAGACTGACATCGAACACTTTTATCACATGAAAATTATAGAACCGTGGCGGCTCACCCGAGGCACTATACCCTTTCGAGTACCTGATGAAGTCAAGTAACAGAGGTCTGTGACAACCCTGTACATAGGCTGGTCTGGGGTCAGAACCTGAACTTGTAAGGTTCCTGCGCGCACAGATTATAGTGCCCTTCTCGTAGGTACCCTAAGCAACAGAACTCATTCTGGGACACTATCCGGAACATACAGACCAGAACCAATTTAAAATAGATCATTTCCCAAAGTGATAATACCGAAAATCAAAACCTCCGGTGCCGACCTCCTCGTCCAGCGTCCATGGTGCAAACTGTTGGCCCGTCGAGATCGTCGTCACGTGAATATACTTTAATCATCATTGTGTTTACTGTCATTGACATAAGCATCGCTCTACTGAAGAAGATACAAAGAAAATCAAGAAACATTTACCTTTTTAACTAATTCTAATAAATCTTTTAGGAATCCTCGTAACTCTTCATTCTCGATAGATCCGTTGTTGTCCTGAAAATGAAATTAAATAGAAATTTCATAGTCGTCTCAGGAACATTTATAACTCTTTATAACTCTTTTTCATTTATTAAGTACATATATTAAGTACATATAAGAATGTATCTTTTGGTGAAGGAAAACATTGTCATGAAACCTGCACGTCGAAGATGGTTTGATGAAAAATTTAATGTATAGTCAGTGCGCTAAGTTGATCAGTGTAAAGAAAAGTGTTAAACAAACTTGTAAGCCGTAAAACTCATTATGTTATGACTTCCTTATTACATCATAAGGAAGAAGAAACTGAATGATGTTTTAAGAGACTTTTTAGGCTAGCTTCATTTTTAATTTACATTACATAAACACACATTTCAACCGAAAAGCTAGAATTAATTAACACTTTTCTGTGTTGAATGTTTAAGAAGGCTCTCAGAACCAAAAGGTCGATTAGAGCATCGACTGTACGGATATCTTATCGTAACTTCGTCACAACGTTCGACTAATACATTGAAATTAAATTCTTACCCTATCATAAAGCGAGAAGACCCTCTCGATGTCATCCTTCGTTAACTTCGTTGCACCCTGTACAAATGTGTTAATTACGACTTTGGAACACTATCATACATTTTATTATTGATACAAAGTTGACATAAACACAAAGATGTGTTTATTTCAGATTTGTATTAATAATAATAACAAAGATGGTTATAAAAACATCATGATATTAATTAAAACTAAATATCATAATTTTGCAAGGTCCCTTGTTGGGCGCCAAATTAAGTTTATCAGCATTCATTAAATAAATCTATTTTTTATAAGCACAATAGTATTATAAACTATTCAGTAAGACACAGCCAGCTAAGTCTAAAATCTATTACACTGTTTTAGATTTCGTTTAATTTTTATTTACATTCATTGCAGACTTAAAAAAACTTAAAATTTTTTCTAAATTATGTTTTTAAATTCACATTAATTGAAGAATTCGATACACGTAAAAAAACAAATTGACATAGAAGTGGTTTGATGAAAAGATTTTCTATGATGAGAACTTAGCTTGTCGTCGATTTTACGCATACCAGCCGAAATGTTGGTATAAACTTAGCCATTATTCAAGAGTTTGAGAAGTCCATATAGAAAATGAAACTATTTTTTGGATCGAAATTGCGTATATTTGTTTTTTCAAACAATCAACGTTTTAGACCCTTTACAGGTCCCATGGTCGCAGTTGACTACGGAACCTGTAAAGGACCTGAAACATTGGTTTGTTTGAACAAATAAATAAATGCGATTTAAATCCGAGAAATAGTTTCATTTCCTATATGTAATAATCGCGAAAATGTAAGAACTCGAAATCTCATAATTAGTTTTCGACAGCGTTTTTTACGTGTATCGTAAATAGTATTTTATTAATGAGGACTCACCTCGATGCCCTCCTATGTGCGAGTGCAACACAAGCGCAGTGTTAGGACAGACAGGCAAACAAACTATACAACATGCTGAAGAGATAAGTTGTAGGTTAGTAACCGTATAATTAAGTATTTGAATTAGATAGTTGTAGAATATTAAAGATTTTTTTTTATAAATACGAACCTTAATTAACGCGTCAGACAGCCACGCTAATTACGTGGTTTTGAATTGGGGAACTATACCATGAGTATCCGAGTGATGAAATTAATTCCAGGGCACGACTCAGGACACACAAACCAGGACCATGTTAAAAGTTCGTCACTTGCTTTTCAGGTAATATTTAATCAATGAAATATAAATCACTCTTATAAATTGTATGTATGGTTTATATTATAAATTAGGCGGATAAAACAAACATTCTGTTTTTCATGGCTTTTTTATGAATCCGCACTTTGCACCCTGCAGTGGCAATGCGCAGCACGACGCCACGGAAAACAACGGAGCTCATATACACGTTATACAAACTCATGCAGCGCCCGTGTGTAATCCGCCATAGTCTAGTCTATTGTCTAGTCTAAATTTAACTTTAATTTATATTAAAATTAATGATACACAAAGATGTAACGGCGTATGTATGGTAGTGATTGTGCTTTTTACTGTGTCTACTGTTTATGTTTTGATTTTTTTAAACTATCATATACATTTATAATAATACGTTAATTATTATGCGTCATATCATAGATACAGAAATAGATGTGCAAAATTAAGATAAGCATGCCAAAAATGAATAAATAGAACATACAAGTGAAAGTGAGGTGAACAACATTACGTATTAATTATGATATGATTTTAAATCATGCACATTTTAAAATGAACACATTTTTAAGGGTTCGTAAATTTATATACCCGAAAATAAGGACATTGGTTTCAATTTAATCAATCAACAAAACCCCTTGGTCTCCCGTTTACTCTGATTACAGCACTGGTGATTATGTGAAAATGTGCGAGAAATAAGGGGTTCTTTGTAAGTTGCTTAGAGGAAGGAATAATCCATTTGCCGTTTTATAACAGAATGTTTTCACAACACGGTCTGTTGATATTCAAGGCAAAACGTTATAAGATATTATTATTATGATACAGGAAATTGGAGTTCCAAATCCGAGCGAGATTTAATTGGTTCGGTTCATTCTATTAACACAAATTGGAGTGTCGTAGCGCAATGAAATTTTTATTAAATCGAAAAGGCATATTATACCGAAATTATTCCGAACACGTTGCGTTGGCACGCTAGGGGTGAGTGATGAGAAGCATCGATTGTTACGTCATGCCAAGATGGATGAGTTTTTTATGGCCATAAAAAAAACTACGAATTTTCATATGACTTACACGGTTCGGGCTTACGGGACTTACGAAAAATACCGTTGGGTGGAAATTTATTTCGGAAATTAAGTTGAATTACAAAAAATATAATTGGGGCAATTAGGACAACAAAAAGATGTCTCCTTTCGGGCGAGGGTTTGGGCCGTAGTCCGCCACGTTGGCTCAATGCGGGTTAGGGACTTCACACGTTTTCCGAGGGCTGTGAACCTTCTTCAACGTGCAGGTTTCGTGACGATGTTTTCCTTCACCGAAAACCTCATGATAAATTTCAAATTATTTTTTAAAAGTTAATTTCGCACATAAATTCCGAGAAACACAGAGGCGCGAGCCCGGATTCGAACCTACGACCTTCTGCTTGAGAGGCAGTAGGTCAAACCATTAGGCACCCACGGCTTCCGTAATTTCACCAGCACCATTACCCTTCAAAACCTGAACACAGTAATGCTGATATTACTGCTTGGCGGCAGAAATAGGTAAGGCTTTAGTTGATTCAGCATAATAGTGAAGGTGTTGAACCAATCATTTTGGAAAAATATTTAAATTGAGTATATACACTGATTCAGTGTGAAAACACGATTGCTAAAAATTTTCACGATAGAAAAAATCACGAATTTACCTCGAAATTTTACAAGAAAACCGCTGTATCCAATACCCATTGGAATTACTTTATTACTTTACTAAATAGTACACGTGTATTAACGATATACTGATTTTCTCTCTTCGTGATTTTCAAAAGCGTTTAAGTTCGTTTGTAAAAAATAAATACTGCAATAAAGCCAGTGTTCCTGCCGTTCGACGAAGCAAAATGAGCCGTATTAGTATGGGAAAACTTTGAATTCGAGCTGAGGAAATATCGGCTCAAGTTCATTTTGCACATGTGGTCTTATTAAACAAAGGGGTTATTCATTACCCAAAGTCGTCATTGAGCTACTGCTGGATTTAAAATTTTTTTGAAATCAAAATGGCGTGCAAACTCGGTTGTAATGCAACATGGCGAGTGAATAGGTTGCGTGATTCCGGGAAATGAAGTGTCACTCACCTTGAACACTTGTCTGCAGAGGAAGTTTTCTTTGACGGGCAGGAGTCTGGAACATAAAATGTGGATATGATGATTCTATTTTTCTTTCAACAGCTAAGGCATAGAAAACAAAAGTTAGATTTATTAGATTAGATTTAGGTTAGATTAATAAATGAAAAAGCAGTACGAGCCAAGTGAGCAAAGCGAGCGTGCCGCAGCAGCGGCCGGCGAGTGCCAGGACCGAATTCGTTTGCATATCCGATATATTTTAGTTCAAATTTATTCCCGTTTAATAATCTATTTAGTTATGTTAACAGAGGTAACTTATGATTGTTATTTAAGACGAGAGTTAGAGTAAATGATTGCTATCAAAAATGAAATTATAGAATGTAAGTTTATATTAAACGTTCGTTTTATTACGTGAATTCACTAAAACACGTAAATAGTACGATTACATGCAGGCTAACTTGACTATAATGCCTCAAATAAAACCATGGGGCCTTTTTTCTTCTCATTATAGCCATGATCGGTGTAATGAAAAAAAAAGACACGAGGGTTTTATTTGGGGCATTATATGCCAGTTAACCTGCATACAATCATAAAGCTTACGTGCAATTATGATGAAAAACATTGTATGCTTCACGGGCGGCACGGGAATTACGAACCTTGACTCCGAAAGTAGGTTTTCGACTTTGGGTAATAGAATCCCAAGAGTCTTGTTTGCAACTCTTTATTTACCGGGCGGTAAATAAAGAATTAACTACACAATGTACTATTTCAGTTCATTAGCGAATACCATAGACAATAGAATATTGGTTCAGAACTAAAAGAGTGCCTTTGTGATATGATTTATGAAATTGTAATTGACAAAGTACACGAGTAGAAAAAAAAAATATGAATGATATGATACACCCGATTAATGTATATATATACACACTCAACTCTGTTTTTAAAAGGCCATACGATATCAGTTTTACAAACAAAGGTGTTCAAATTATCACGTATAATATTTTGTTTTTGCGAAATAAATATCTGAAAAGGCCGTGTACTCATGCTCTTACTGGTATGAGGTTAAATATGTCCTCGTGCTGCTACCAATGTACTGTCTCCTATATTTAAATGTAATTGGTATTGTATTCTAGTACTCTTATGTATGTTGCGTGCTGTTAGGACAATTTACAATTTGGGCTCCTGAACGTCTTTGAGAGATAAGAAGAATAGTAATAGTCTATTTATGAAAAATAGTGACAGACATACTAATAACATTAATAAGGGGAATAAAAAATAAACTAGTTGTTCTTGATATCTTAGACATTCACAATGTCATATTCATTTAAGAGGCAATGTGTACGCTTCTATGTACGTATATAATAATAATAAGATTCCCATTAGGTCAACGAAGATTCCGGTTTATTTTCAAATTTTGCCATTTACGAGGTTAAAACTATACCTATACAGTAAAAGAAAAACTTTATATATACTAAAGGTTATTATACAACTTCTGCATAGGTACTTGGATGACAAAAATCCATGGTAGTAATCCGTTTAGGTTTTTCAGGTTGTTTCTGTTTGTACATTTAAATTGCTATATTAATTTTAAAGAGCAACCCTTAGACTTGATGGTTCTTCTCAGGGGAATCTGCCTTACGAAAGAGCGCAAAGTGACGATTTCAAGTGTAATTTTCTTCTTACCTATGAAATAAAGATATTTTTTACTTTGATTTTTTTTATTCTAGTTCAGTGTACTTATTAGATACGACGACACGATAGGAGCACAAGGATATATTAGTCCCAGTAGGAGCATGAGGAAACGGCCCCTGAAAATACCTTTTGTTCGTAGGCTTGTTGTCATGCCACGTTGATATCAAAAGTCAATTTGTAAGCACCAGGATCCCAACGTGTTTAAATTGTCATTGGCAACTTTTATTATAACTATGAAGCAATGGCGAAATTACGGGTAGACAGAGGGGCGCCCTGGCCTCACTTTCTATAGAGACCCTATATATGTATAAAAAGCTTTTGAAACTACCAAAACTTTTAGGGTTCTGTAGGTTCATTTGTAAGAGATGACGCATTGTATTTTTCTACGCATCAATGTTCAAATCGTACCTTTCGTAGCAATTTTTAGTAGCAGTGGAGGAAAGAGTTCGTCCAGGGAAATACTGTCACATGACCTATTTCTGCCGCTAAGCAGTAATGTGAGCATTACTGCGTTCCAGTTTTTAAGGGTGCTGGTTAATAAATTACAGGCACATGAGACTAACCAACTGTCTCTGGGTAAAAGCGCAGTGGCCGTGTCCCTCTGAGTGGCCTGATATTGCTATGGACAGGCGTCTCGCTTATCATCAGGCGCACGCCATGTTCGTCCAATCACTATCACACATATTATAAAAAAAATGTTGACATAGCCTTAGGAGAATATAGTTTTGATGTACAAATCGAGACGCACGAATTGTTCGGCCGTTACTTGGTGATATGAAAAAAAATTGCCGAAGAATCGATAACCAATGGGGGAAACGAGTTTATACGTGGACGATTCCCGAATTTAAAGGTGTGTAATATCCATTCTATGTGTATCTCAGAGGCAGGGCTTGTAGAACCGGTCCGGTTCCTAAAATTTGGATTCCTAGTGCTGGCCTACCTCACAATAGTACAAAGTACAAAAGAACAATAGTAACAATATCGTACCGGATAACTAACATAGTATTACCTCAAAAATTACGTTACATACGTACATATATCATTCGTACACAGTTTAACTTCAAAGTGACTGTATTGTCCTGTCATACATATAACGAATTAAAAAAAAATAATAACACGTTAGTTGTCATGTGCAATAATTTTTTCTTGTAAAATAATTTTTTTTTTTGGTAATTTAATGAAGTACCTATTGGTAAACATTGTTTATCCAGATCATCCTAGTACTATTGTTTGTTTTATAGATCTTATCCGGAAGTTATTTCATTTTATAGCTTCATGCGACAGTTGGCTTGGGTCATAAAATACAGGTTTCTTTACCAGTGGTTTACGTTTTAGATCCCTCGTAAAATAAAAGAAATAACAAACATTTTGTTTCCTTTATTTCTTTTAAGGCAAGTAATGTACGTTTTATATAGTTGACCTTGGAACCGCACTATGCCCTTTGGATGCCTGAAGCGGTAACTTACAGACCACTGATCTGCGCTAAAAGTGGTATATATATTTGTTGTGTGGAATAAACACGTTTTTTACCCTCCAAAAGAGAAAAAAAATAGAGGCGAGCAAGTCCGGTAAATTAATGCGAAATATTTGGAACTCAGTGACTTCTAAAGCAATGACCAGAGTTGCCAGATTGTTGGTCACAGTTCTTATTTTTAAGTTCGTTCAGAGAAATACTGCCACCATAATCATTTCTGCCGCCATGAAGTAATAGTATTATTGTGTTCCGGTTTTGAAGGGTGCTGGTGAAATTACAGGCACATGAGACTTGTCAACTTATGTCTCAGGGTGACAGGCGCAGTGGTAGTGCCCCTCAGATCTCAGAGGCGTCTAACTTATTCGTCCCGTCACTTGATAATATATTAAAAATATTATTTTTCGTAACTTATGATCTTATCGTGTAAGTAACTTTTGTTTTTAAGGCGAGTCAAACGGAGGAGAAGCGAGAAAAACTTTTTTACCAGATCAAATGGTTTAGGTATTTACTATTAAATAATGGTCTTATAAAACATATACGATACACCTAAGGATAATGTTTAAAGAATGTGCTAATGTGTTACACGATACGATGTACTTTATCCGATCATATAGGTACATAGGGCGTACTATAAGTTTCCTGAATGAATAAAAAAAAATTATTATAAATGGTCTGAAATGAATTTATTGTTTCTCAAAATATTCTCCGTTAGCGTTAATGCACTTTTTCATACGAATGAATCAATTTTGAAAACATTTATGCCACTCCTCCGTGACAATCTCTGAAACATATTTTTCATACTCCTCGACAGCCTCTTCAGGTGATGAAAATCGTTGACCGTAACTGGTTCTTAATTTTAGGAAATAAATAAAAGACACAAGGTGCCAGGTCGGGATTGTATGCGGGATGGCTCACAAGGTCAACGTTGTTCACCTTCAAAAAGTCATTTGTCTGTCTGGCCGTGTGAGACCTGGCATTATCGTGGTGCAAGATGATTCGGCGTTTACGTTATTTTACGGAGATATATCTCTTTGAGTACTACAGAGAACCTGCGAAATTTTGGTTTTCAACTGAAGCACTATTAGTTATTTAAGAGCGGTTACACACGCGCGACTTTAAGCAGGGATGCAAACTCGCGACGCATCGATACAAATGCGCGATTGCATCGCTACACTTGTGATTTATAAGCAATTGCATCGATGCAATCGCGCGTTTGTATCGATGCAATTGCCTATCAATCTTTTTTATAATAACAATAATATCAAGTGACCAACAAGTCGTGCGACTGGAGGTAAGCCTTAAATCGCAAGTCAAGACAAGTCTCATGTGCCTGTAATTTCACCAGCACCCTTACCCTTCAAAACCGTAATGTACTGCTTGGCGGCAGAAATAGTTACAGTGGTAGTACTAACTACCCTGGACTAACTCTTTTACAAGGAGCTCTACTGCTTCTAAAAAAATCGCAAGTGCAGCGATGCAATTGCGCGTTTCACGAACGCGCGTTTGCATAGCTGCTAAAAGTTACCGTGTGTAACCACTTTATTAGGCTATTTTCGTGTAGAGATTTTTTTTCAATCCAACCATATTTGTAAGTGTAATACATAGTTTACGAATCGCAAATTAGACAATAACGAACTCAGAGAAGATGTTACAATACGAAAGTCATAAAAATAATACGAACTACATGAAACAAATTACTTATATGTATATATATATAAATTATATTACGAAATTGTATAGCTCTCATATTTAAGTCTAAAAAAGTTATTTCGTTCGTAGAACCTTTCAAACCTCTGTCCTGAAAAGATGTCATTTTGCAAATGTGGCTTTGTTACGCCACGAGAGCAAATTTTTGTTCCGTGGGCATGACAGACTAATAATTAGACTTACCT